AAAGTAATTTTAATGCTTGATCACTGCTACACCATTTTAAAAATAAATTTTAGAAGTTTTAGTTAATCCTTTTCTGGTATAACTTAATAGTTTTAGAAGATAAGTGAGGACTGTGGCTAGAAGTTTGCATATATTAAAATTGTGAGAGGAAGTTATTTCTCTGCTGTTTTTAACAGGCACTGCTTATATTCATGGAATGAAACACGCCACTGGGAATTTTATTGTTATTATGGATGCTGACCTCTCTCATCATGTAAGTCAGTATTTTATGTACTGTATTTTTAATGTTATAATTACGTTTTCTTTGATTTTTGGGAGGATTTGTTTGTTGTGTCTGTTGGGGTTTTTTTAACTCCAACCCCTTTATCTTTTCTGATCTGTTTTCCTTCCATTTCAGCCAAAATTTATTCCAGAGTTTATCAGGTAGGTGCTGGTTGTGGTATGAGAGAGTAACTTCTGAACACTGGCTCTTACACAGTAATATTTGAAAGCTTTATTTTCTGTTATAGCTGTCTAGCTGTAGTAAGGCAATTGGCAATGCAAGAAGTGATTGGACCTCATTAGATTTGTCCCCAAATCATCCAGAAAAATTAGTTCTTAACTGGCGCAAAAATCCCAAAATAACAGAGAGCGTGTTTGGCTAAGTAATGGTTGTGCTCCTTTGAAGAGTGTGTATATAAAAGTCATCTTCTAATAACTTCATCATGTGTGCATGTAGGAATATTGAATAGAGGACCATGTCCTCAATTATTTGTGAAATACTTCTCTCCCTGTTGCCTAACCCTTGCCTCCCAGTAACATTCAATTTGTGGGGAGTGATCAACAGGCCTTATCTTGGAGGCTGCAGGCAGGCGGCAGCCTGTGCAATTCTCAGCCTCCTTGCTCAGTAGTACTCGAGGTGTAAAGTTTCAGATGAGGTTATGCAGCAGGCAGGCAGGCATGCTACAGACTAAGAATAGGTACGGGCATTTTTTGGTTTTTCTTACTATGGGTTTGTGTAACTTAAAGATTTGAATCTGTATTTAAAATCATTCTGCCTTTTATACTAGAGAGGGGCTTTAAAAATGCATAAGTTCGTCCTTGTAAATTAATTACGAAGTACTCTATGAAATTCTGTGACATAGTTGCTAGAAGATAATCATAAGATTCCCTGAAAAAGCTCTTTATAAAACAACAATTATGGCTTTTTAAATGTATCATGCTTATAACCACCGTTAACTATTGCTTTCCTCTCTTCTGTACTTAGTAGTTCAAAGGTTTGTAAAATACAGATTTTGTTCCAAAAGTATGATTGTTCTCATTTCAAAATTCTTACTACCTTCATACAAATATTCCTCCTGTTTTTTTCTGATAAAATCAATTGCTTATAGAAAGCAGAAAGAAGGCAATTTTGATATTGTTTCTGGAACAAGATATAAAGGAAATGGAGGAGTGTATGGCTGGGATTTGAAAAGAAAATTAATCAGGTTAGTACTTTTCTAGATACTTACATATAAATTTCTTAGTTAGAAATAATTCGAAGTATTCAACTGAATCTGTGTGAGCTGAACTGAGTCTTTTAGTCAATAGTACTGGCTACTGCAAAATTATAATAAATAATAGAAGCATGGTGACTTCGCAAATCTTTGGGTAAAACCCACCAAGAAAGAATGTAATGATATGACCTGGCTTGAGAAATTACTTGGAACAGTGGACAAATCTGCATGGCATCTGGTTGGGACTGCTTCATCATCCAAAGAATGACCTGAGGCTGTGACATATTTGTCGAGTTTTAAACTTGACACATTTAGTTAGCTTTAATAGCTGTAACGGGCCTTTCCCTAAACTGTAAAATACTTGCTAAAACCCGTTGTTGATGCTCTGATTTGTCCTAGGTTAAGAATTATCTGGCACAATCGATGTCAATAAATCATTACTGAGACCTTTCTGGAAAACAGTTACAGTGAACAGTGGTGAAAGGTTTCACCCAAAAGCAAAGAGGAAGACTGTGGCAAGGCCATATACACACAGGGAGGCTGGCATCTCAGGTTTACAGGGACTAGAGATTTTGAGGAGGTAATCAACAAATTCTGCGTAGTCTTTCTCGCACCTGATTTAGGAGAATAGGCACAAGTTAATGCTGTTAAAGAAGTAGGAGTAGAGGTTGTGTTAGCAATGTTATTTGGAGATGGAATCACAGGGACTGTATTTGGATTTCTCCTGTTTTTTAATGGCTGCAATGGGGGCTCATCTTTCTGTGAATCTAAAAATATACACCCTCCAAAAAAAGAAAAAAATTAGCTAAATGGACACTACAGAGGAATCCCTTTACATCATACTGGACAAGGTGAAGGACTTGCACGTCTTATCAGTGTGTAAAACAGCCCTCAGCAAGGTAGTCACGACTGGCTTTTCAGTCTCACAACATTTTTTATCAGTGGACCTTATCCTTATCGTACTATGAAAGCCACGTAAACCAAAACTGAACCTTGATTTTTTTAAATCCAAGTGTCATGTTTGTCCAGGAAGCATTTTTAATCTCGACTTACTGTGAACGTTAGTCAGAAGAAAAGTGTTGTTTTGACTGTTGTCAAATTTATTGCATTGTATTGTATTAGTGTTTAGATGTACTGACAGTTCTGTCATAAAGAAACAGATTGTAAACCTAATGTCTAAACCCCGTTGTTGTCTCCTTCATAGAAAAGTGCTATAACCTACTCATAATTTACATCTGAAAAATAAAACACGGTGTTTTGATTGTGGAGTCTCCTCTGGAGACATTCAGATCCCACCTGGACGTGTTCCTGTGTGACCTGCTCTGGGTGATCCTGCTCTGGCAGGGAGGTTGGACTAGATGATCTTTCAGAGTCTGTTCCAAGCCCAGTCTGATTATGCGTGATTGCAAGATTCTATGACTTAATAGCAGTGAAAACATGTTAGAAATATAATTGTTTCATATTAAGCAGTAAAAGATTTTTTATTTTTTTTTTGCTAGTAGGATGACATTTGCTTATTTTCTAGAAATTCTGCCTGATCTTTTGGAATTGTGTACTAAGCAATCATTCATATTTTCTTCACAGTCGTGGTGCCAATTTTATAACTCAGGTTTTGCTGAGACCAGGTGCATCAGACTTAACAGGGAGTTTCAGGTATGGCTCTGGTTTGCAATCCATAAAGTTTGTTTGAAATTAGGAAACTGCTGAACAAGAAAGTGAAGTAAGAGTGGACCCTTACTAAGGACTGTTTGGGAAGGGCGTAGGCAATAGCTGACTAGATTGCAAGAGCTCTTGCTCTTATGAAAATGTTACTTTTTAAAATTCTAATGATTCGAGTGATTGTAGTTAAGATTCCTACACATTATCTTGATTTCCGAAGTTCGAAAATTGTGCTTCAGGTTTCATTTTCTTTGTAATCGTTTACAGGTTATACAGAAAAGAAGTCTTACAGAAACTAATGGAAAAATGTGTTTCTAAAGGATACGTTTTCCAGATGGAGATGATTGTTCGGGCTAGACAGTTAGGATATACTATTGGAGAGGTATAGTAAAAGTTTTGATATTTTGCTTTTATTCAAATATAGATACGGATTACTGGGAGCATAGGAAGTGTTGTGCGCTTCCAAGAAGAAGCAAGATTTTCAAATTGATATAAAGAAATTACATATGTAGAACTCTAGTTTGTTCCAGCTTTTCCAGGTGAATCTGCAATTTCAGTCACTTGTTCCCTGGCTGACATGTTTCGCATCCCTCTCCTTGTTGCCATTTCTTTATCTGCATACAATTTTCCAAGGCTCTTCAAGGGAGGGAAAGAAGTCAAAATATACCATGAAGCTGCTCTGAGTCTTTTTTTCTTCCTTCATATTGTACAGACATCTCTAGTTAGCTCTTTTCAAATAATTTTGTTTTCTCCAGCAACCTGATTCTATTCTGGATTTATTCTGTTCTCTGACACTTATTGCATTATTTTTCAACTTTCCAGCCTATCACAACTTTACACTTCTAAACGCTTTGAATGTGTGGTCTACAATCATTGAAAAAGAACTCAAAATTTTAGATCCTGTATTTCCAGCGATCTGATTGCTGCTGTTTATATTTCACTGAATTGCTCTTGCTGGTGTCCTTAAAGATGATTCACTGGAATTTTCTCTGCAGCCAAATCTCAGAACCAGCTCTTCATCATCATTTTCAGGACTCTGAACTGTCAGAGAGTTCTGTTGCTGGTACTTCTCTCTCTAAAGCTTATGTATTGCATTTCTCTATCAGTATTGGGTAGAGTATTTCCACACAATAAAGCGAGCTCTGTTCTTTCACCTTTCTTATTTATGGACCCACATCACTGCCCTGTCTGTAGCTGAGGTTTGCCCCAGATGTCTTTGTTCTTCACATCCAGCTGCATTCATGTATTGCTTCCTAGTATTGCTGAATTAAATCCTCACCTGGCTATACATTAGGATTTGAAACCTAGTGTGAGATGAGGTTTTATTTACTATACATTTTTGAAAGAGTAAAATACACTTCTGTTGCTTTAAAAAATGCAAACTTGGGTTGCTTATACCTCTTCAGGCTGCTGCCACGAAGACCCCTTTTTCTGCCTAGTATTTGATCCCGCCTCATTTATTTACATGCCTCTGCCGGATGTAAAGCACTGAATATAAGAGTTTTGTCTTCCGGTTCAATCAGGGGGCCTAATGTCTCCTGGTCAGTGTTCAGACATGGGTGGGTTACACTGTCCTTGTCATCTGTCTGTTACATTCTCACTTAACCATCTTATTCGCTCCCCCTTTGGTTTCTCACATGTGGGAAGAGTTCTCTCTAACATCTAAAAAGTTGCTCCATTTTTTGGCTTTGGCCTTGTCTTTAAGATTTCCCTTGTGACATCCGTAACAAACTTGACAGCGTTGAGGTTGCTGACACATTGCTCCATATAAGACTTTTGTATTTTTACTGATCTGTGTTTCATCGCAATATTGTAACTTCCTGGGGCAGGACAATTTTCTGTTATGTTTCAAGTACACTGATACAGTATTTCCTGGTCAATACTTCAGATCTTTTTATATTTTATAATTGTCCAAATAGTAATACTAGAATTCTAGAAGAGGTGACACTTGCACGTCCGATTCCTGGTTTGTGGGTGCTGCAGCTCTAAAGGTAGAAGAGGAGGTTTTGTGTAGTTGTAAAATGTAGATAGTGAGGGACAAATATTTCTAAAGTAAAGTTGAAAATGAAGATTGGGACCTGTCAGTCTAAAAGGAACAGATGGATGGTGAGATGAACTGACAGAAGCTACACCTGAAGAGCCTTATATGCACCTCTGTTTCATTTTGCTATTTCTTTACCGTATATGAATTGTACCACAGTGCGTGGAATATACCTTTTGGAAAAACCTTCCTTTAAGACTAATGATAGAACTTCTTATGCAAGAAATGCAAAGTTCAGAAACAACACAGGTGGTCAATTCCTGTATTGAAGGGAAAGACTGGATACCTTTTTCTAGATGAGATATTAACTGTTCATTCATCACTGCTCAGGAAACGTCACTTCTGACATCCTGCACTGCCTACATAGTGATTTCTATCCCCACGCCCGGTTGATCAGCTCTCTGTATTTGTCAGGATGTTCACTGGGGTCATCAAAGAGACCCTACTGAGAAAGCCAGAGTAATTGCTGGGTCCATCTGCAGACCTTTGTAGATGACCTCTTACTGTCTTCTTGTGCTGGATTCTCTCCTACCATGGGCTGCTCTGCTGGAATTGTGAGAAATCCTCAGTCCCAGAACAGATTTTTGTGATTTTTGTGTTTCACTTGCCAGATGATTTCTAGCTGAAACCACCAGCAGAACGCTAAGCCAATTTTTTAATGACTTCTGCAAATGCATTTCTCCAGCCCCTGAAGTATTTCAATTTTGCAAACAAACATATGGAAATTCTTGAATATTCTAATACAGTGTTGGCAGAATGTCCTGTCGTATGTCATTTGTACGTGGTCAAATTACTGGAAAGCAGTACATTCCTAACATTTTGTGAGGAGTGAGTTAATCCAGACACTTCAGAAAGGAAACCACGTGTAATGTTTTAAATGCCCTTTAATTTTGTAAATAATCTATAAAATGGTCAAAGACAGGTATTGCTTGTAAAATACGCTCTAACTGTCACATCCAGATGTCACGTTCCTGCCAGTGGTGAGGTTGGGCAGAATGCTGGTTCGCGGTGGTGGGAGATTTTTGCCCTCCTGAGGCATTGACTCAAAGGTATTGAATTAGCTACAAGCAAAGTGGTGAAGGTTCATTTTAAGCCGCTGGGATTTCAGTACACTTCAGCTATTAAGTTTGTTCTGACTGGTGTGTCATCCAGCCACTGAGTAATGTCTTTGGAACATCTTTAAAGGTGATCAACCAAGTAATTTCATGCTCCCCAGCTATGGGGCATCATTAAAGCCTCTGGTAAGAAGAACTTAGACAAAGGAAGCCAGTCTAGTGCTTGCCTGCTTCCCATGCCTAAACATGCTGCAGTTCAAAGGCCATCCTTTTGTTTACAGAATTTCTGATTATTTAGGTTTTGAATCTTAAAAATAGTTTTGCTTGTTTCAACAGGTTCCTATTTCATTTGTGGACCGTGTCTATGGAGAATCTAAACTGGGAGGCAATGAAATAGTCTCCTTCTTAAAGGGACTGTTGACCTTGTTTGCTACAACGTGATAGTTTATGCTAATTAACTTTTTTAGAAAAACATTTTCTGACATCTGTGTGTTTTTAATACATAATAGTAGAAGCTTGATAATTTGTGTGGTAACCAGAAGACCTGCTAAAACCTAACAATTAAAAAACCCAATTAAACTAAATATGTTGTATCCCAAAATGCTTATTTCAAAATAAATGAACTGTATGTTAAAGTAAAAACTAATAAAAGACTAATGCTCTATTCTATTTTTGTAAAAATAATGAAGTCTTAATAAAGAACACAAAGCTAAATATCTCTTGCATTTAGAAATTAATCGTTATTTAGCAGAAGCCAAAGATGATTCTGAAATAAAGACAAGCAACGACATAAAAAACCCTAGAATTCATCTTATCTTTGTTCTCTGGCTTGCAGATAGCATTTTTAAATATATACCAATTAGTTCCCTTTCTTTTCTCAGCACATATATGCATCTATCTTAAATCAAATACGTAGAACAGTTTCCACAGAACTGATAATAGCTTGTGTCATTTAAGAGGAAATACAGATGAGTATAGGGATTTGTTCTTTATAGAATTGCTCCTATGCTGGAAAGAAGGAATATTCATTGGATAAGAAAGAGAATCATATACATGGAATAATTTTGTATTCTGTGTGTTTGTCTAGAAGCAGATGATTGCCTTTTCCTATTTTCTTTAAAAAACCCGCATTTTTTGAATCTATAAAACAGGAGTATGACATCTCACCCAACTTTAGGGTAACAGAAGACCCAGTTCACCGTGGTAAAGATAGTTCAGAAGTTTTTCTTATGCGAAATAACAATTTGCAAATTAAAATCTGTTTTTCTTCTAACTCCTGGTGCATGAGATACAAACAGAGTGATACTATAGGGGTTTTTTTGTTTCATGGTTTGATACAGCCAGAACTCAGAAATTATGAAGCCCATGCAATCAAATATGCACTTGGGGCAAGGAGGAAGAAGTAAGGAGGAGAATGAAATAATTCTGATAATCGATCTATAAATATGAAAAATCTGTCCTCAGTTATTTGGGGGGAAGGGTAGTTTTGTGGACACCTGTATCAGAAAATTAATCGTATGAGAGGAGAAGCAACTAATATCTTAAAAGTTATACCGTTTGGCTTGTGTTTGCCTGCATTCCTTCAGTACACTAGATAAGTATTTTTAATATTAAGGGAGGAAAAAGAAGTATGTAGATAAATGATAAATTCGTATTTCAGTTGTTTATCACATTATCACAGTAACAAAAATAAACAGAACTTTAAAGCAAAAGCTTTTTTTCTAGTGACTGCTTTAGAGATATTATTTAGATCTTTAGTGAAGTTGTACAGATTCTGATATTCTTCTCTAAGCATTTAGAGCAAATGTATTAATTTGCTTTAAAATAATTTTTAAAAATGTAGCTGTAGGTTTTGAATCTACATGTAACTGGATTACAGTGACTTAACTGTACGTTTTGTGACATTTGCTTGTACTTTCCCAGCACATTATATATAATTTCATTTTGTGCAGGCTAATGAGATCTAATGACATATACAGAAATAAATCTCTGGGCCTAAAGAGCCACTGAAACCTCCAGTGAATAGTTTTCATCTGTTTATGTTTCATTTGGAGGTTTCATGACTAAAATCAACATTTTAAGTTGAAAATAGCTACAGAGGTTTTAATGACCAAATAGTGAGTTTTTAGATGTTTATTCAAACTTACATACTACTGAAAACCAGTTGCTAGAATACAGATTGAGCCTCATGAGTAAGATCATATTTTTCTCAGACTTTTATGTAATGAAGTTCATTATATTATTCATGATCTAATTGCTGTCAATTAGGGTTTAGCTTTTAGAATGTACATGCCTACTTTTTATGAAAATTACCTGGAAAACTTCCTTCCTTTATTTATGTAAAGGTATATGAAGGAAGGTGTTTTTACATACAGTTCAGGATCATGATACATGGCATATTCTTTGTGCTCCAGTATGTGAAAGCTTGAAATGTGACTGGGCTATATTCACTTTTCAGATAAATAGGCAATATTTCTTATTATGCTTTAAAATAATGGTATTTAAGTTATCAAGAGCAAAGTGCAATAAAGAAATGAAAACAAGTGTTTCAAGGCATCAGGACCTAAGTAGACACTCTCCAAAGCTTTTTGAAACAAAAAGTCACAGGAATGAAACTGATTTTAATAGCCTGCAGAAACTTTACTTACAGAAAGCACTACTGAGAGGAACTAATACATGGATCCAGTGGAAAGAAGCAGAATTAAGAAGACTCAGGCTTTCCCTGAGTTAGTGGAATATATATACACACATATATTTAGTTCACAGTACATACCATTTAAACCATCTGAGGTTTTTTCCCTAGCAAAAAGATTATATATTCAAAACACAGGGAACTGAGCTGCAGGTAACTTGGTGCATGTTGAATGCACGTTCAAAAGTTGTCTTAGAGTAAGCTTTAAAAGCCTGAACTTCAGAAGAGGTCACTGTTGTTTGTGCATTTGACCCTCCACGCATTTGTAGAGGGAAGAATCATAAAAAAGTATGCTGTTACTGTTAAGTTAGAAAACAAAACAAAACGAACATTATCTTTGCCCAGAACTGGCCTCAATAACCTCTCCTTTCATCCCACCTCAGCCTGCAGTGCTTCTCTTTCCAATGAGTTTCTCCAATGAGGTAACTAAACCCACCTGATTCTAAAGTATTCCCTGTCTTTGAGCACTTAGGTCTGGCACTGCAGAACCTCACCAATATGTAAACAGTGTTCTGTACATAGCAAAGCACTGCAAGAACAAGCTCAAAGACTGCGTTCTATCACTGACCTTTTCTCTTGCATGCACTGCTCTAAGAGTTCCTGTAAAATTAATATTATAATATTGTAACCAGTGTTCAGAGCTCTAACAGAGGTCCTTTTTTAATAAAGCTAGTATCTTTTTAGAAAATACTGGGATGAAAGAGCCATCACTTAGTGCTACTTGAACTTAATAGAAACTCTTTACTTGAATTTGTTCTCAGCTTCTTTTAATCTAGCACCACCTATGTAAATTCTTAGCATAAACCCCCAAAAGTGAAAAGAAACTGCATAGTAAGGAAGGAACAGCAGGTCAAGGGAGGGGATTTTTCCCATCTGCTCTGTTCTGGTAATACCCCACTTGCAATTCTGTGTCCAGGTCTGGGGACACCAGCAGAAGGTGGTTATGGACCTCCTTGAGCAGGTCCAGAGGAGGGTCATGAAGATGATCAGGGGGCTGGAGCACCTCTCCAGGACAGACTGAGAAAGCTGGGGCTGCTCAGTCTGGAGAAGAGAAGGTTCTAGGGAGACGTTATAGTGACCTTCCACTGCTTAAAGGAGGCTACAGGAAAGAAGGGAAGGGATTCTTTATCAGGGAGTATAGTGATAGAGTGAGGGGTAACAGTTTTAAACTGAAAGAAGGTAGATTCAGGTTAGATATTAGGAAGAAATTCTTTACTGTGAGAGTGGTGAGATACTGGAGGAGATTGCCCAGAGAAGTTGTGGATGCCTCATCCCTGGAAGTGTTCAAGGTGAGGTTGGACAGGGCTTTGAGCAACCTGGTCCAGTGGGAGGTGTCCCTGCCCATGGCAGAGGGTTGAAACTATTTGATCTCTAAGGTCCCTTCCAAGCCAAACTACTCCAAGGTTCTAGTATTCTATGTTCCCTATTTCTTGTTTCCCATTTTCCTTCTCCTGTTATTATATAGACCCAGCTTACTCCCCATCATCCAACTCAGTCTTGTCTTTTTAATTTCCTCAGACAGAAGCCACATCACACCTTGCTATTCTCAAAATGTTAGTAGCATATTATAGTAGAACAAAAGTAGTACTACAGTCTTTGGAGATCAGGTGCTTAGAACTCGATACAATGTCTTAAATATTCATGTACTAGGGCTTTATATAGTGGCATTTTAGTTTTCTGTCCTTTTCTTAATACCATTGCAATACTCTGCTTGCCTTGTTTTGGCCATCGCAAAACACTGAGTCTACATTTACAGATAATTTTCCATTTCATGTCCCTGGTTTTACAGTTTCTCATAAATCAGCTTTTCTTAATTACATCCATATTCATTTCCTATGAAGACACAAATACGCTGCTAATGCACTTTCTCTGTTATACTTTCTTAGGAATTTGTGTCTGCAAGCACTCAATCATTTGGCAAGAATGGGAGATTTAATTTCTTCCTTGCTTAAATGAGTATATATTGTGGATATATTTGGTTGGGCATATTCAGTGAAGAGGGGGAAGAAGGTAACTCACACTTTGCACCAGTAATACTCACTTTCCCCTGAACAACAAACTGATTACCTCAGTCACATCCATAAGGATCTGGTGATGCCCACCTTGCCATTTAAGTCCCAAATACTGGATCTCTTGAGTGTGTTCCTTGACCTTGCTTCTCTTTATGGCAAAACCAGTGTTTAAAAGAATCACTGAACAGAATTGGTTCTGTTTAGCTCAAACCAGGACACCTGCACTGGCAGACAGACAAGGCTCTGGGAAGATCTCTTTCTCTGTTATTGTAAGATAGAGATTCAGTGCGATGCATGAAAAGTCTTACACAGCAGGCTTAGTTATTCAAACCCATTACAAGAGTCAAAGCATGTGCTAAACTTCAAGTATGTAGTCCCAACAGATTTAGAGTGAAAGAAGAATGGGTTGTGGAGTTTTGCATGGCTTATCACCAAGATTATCCTTGACCTACATTTGGTGCTTGCACTCTGGTTTGAGAGTACTTCTGAGGGTACATCCCCAGTCAGAGCTCTGCTCAGTGACTTCAACAGCCCTGGTTTTTTATCAGACAATCTGAAGCCCCAGCTGGGCGCTGAAACACATAATTGGGGGCTGCTAAAACTGATATCACCTCTTGTCCGAGGACTTAGCTCTACTACTTAGCTCATCAGCTCTACTACCTGGTAGGTGGCTGCAAGCAGCTGTGGTCTCCTCGTGCCCACAACACCCTCATCTGCCCTGCCGCAGGCATATGCAATACCCTGAGGTATGGTCACTCTTAAGTCATATGAAGATTTACACAAGGTCAAGTTTAATGTCTCTGCCCTAGATCATTATGATTCTGAAGCTGCGACAACCGCTTCAGACAACTAAGACCTGGTTAACATATTCAACTGAACGTGAAACCTGTATCAAAATGAGATCCCAAGCTTATCTGTTTTGAGTCTTGTGGCTGAGGACTTGTCTGATCTGAAGCTGAATGGAGTCAGCTTCAGTTTCGGTTTACAGTGTTTTTTTAAAATCTGAGGCTTTAATCTGAGCCTGCAATAAAGACAAACCTAGTTGCACT